GAAAAATAAAGACCAAATGCCTGTGTAGAAAAGAAAACGCGTCGCGTTCAGTGGGCTCAGAACCAAAATAACCTTAGGATGTATCAGAGAGCAAAATAAGGCGGAGCAGGCCTAAACTCTGTCACGTATAGGCCGGGAGTAAACAAGATAATTAGAATAAGGGATTTTGTCTGGTTCTGATGTCAACATTCAGTCATTTTCGATAGGTCCACATCTCATGATATTTTGATTCATTTATTTCTTGACCAGTTGTTCCTTCAATTATGAATGCTGACTCATTTGTGGACATCATGGCCAATTGTAGCATAATAGAAATATGATATTGTTCAAAAGTATAGTGCAATTTGACCCTTTTATAGCAACATTAAAATTAATCAGAATGATGTCACAATTGGAGGTTTGGAGTTTTTCTTTTTGATGACCCCTCTAAGTTAATATTTACAATGTGAGTACCTTATCATTCCCACATTACGATGACAGATGACAACTGAATGCCCTGCATTTACAGTGGGCACTTGTTGCTGTGATTGCTTTACAAACTATTTTCAGGTCATTAAAATAACCAGGGAATGGTTGTAAAGCCATTTCCCATTTACTTTTAGCGTAAAACCGATTTATTAGTCCACATAGACATGTTTGCCACTGTGACTGGGGACGTAATTCCCACAGGGAAATAATAACATGATCTTATTTACACCAACTTGCAGCCTATTTTTGTGTATACCGTCCTCGAGATATGAGAATATATTAAAACGATAGCATATAGGCCTACCAGCATAGTCCATTTAGAACGTTAGCTATATATGCAGCCATATGATCTTTGCAAAAAGATAGCAAACAAAGAATAGCTTCCTAAGGACTAAAAATTATTATGGTTACACTGTATTTGAAGCATTTGGTCATTGGTCAATTAGTTGCCCACATAGCCTACAGGTTGTGTAGGACATGTGGTCCTGTAAGCGTATTCAACAATGGCTAATTTATCTCTGGTGTTTGATAATGTCAATTACATGCAAGCTGAGGCCCTACAACCAAAGCTCAAACTTGGGACATTTTGCATCAGTGAGCCTACAGTGCCTTCAGAAAGTATTCATACCCCTTGACTTATTCCACATTTTGTTGTGTTGAATTTAAATTGATTAAATATATGTTTTTCTCACCCATCTACACACAATACCCAAGTGGCACAGCGGTCTAAGGCACTGCATCTCAGTGCTAGAGGCGTCACTACAGACCCTGGTTTGATTCCAGGCTGTATCACAATCCGGTGGTGATTGGGAGTCGCATAGGGCGGCGCACAATTGGCCCAGTGTCGTCCGGGGTAGGCCGTCATTGTAAATAAGAATTTGTTCTTAACTGACTTACCTAGTTAAATAAAGGTTAAATAAAAATAAAATAAAAAATAGCATAATGACAAAGCGAAAACATGTTTTTAGATATTTTAACAAATTTAACAAAATACAGAAATATCTATTTACACCCCTGAGTCAATACATGTTAGAATCACCTTTGGCAGCGATTATAGCTTTGAATCTTTCTGAGTAAGTCTCTAAGCGCTTTGCACACCTGGAATGTATAATATTTGCACATATTCTTTTTTAAATTCTTCAAGCTCTGTCAAGTTGGTTGTTGATCATTGCTAAACAACCATTTTCATGTCTTGCCATAGATTGTCAAGCCAATTTAAGTCAAAACTGTAACTAGGCCACTCAGGAACATTCAAAGTTGTCTTGGTAAGCAACTCCAGTGTATATTTGGCCTTATGTTTTACATTATTGTCGTGCTGAAAGGGGAATTCATCTCCCAGTGTCTGGTGGAAAGAAGACTGAACAAGGTTTTCCTCTAGGATTGTGCCTGTTCTTAGCTCCATTATGTTAATTTTTTATCCCAAAAAACTCCACCGTCCTTAACGATTACAAGCATACCCATAACATGATGAAGCCACTACTATGCTTGAAAATATGTATAGTGGTAGTCAGTAATGTGTTGTATTGGATTTGACCCAAACATAACACTTTGTATTCAGGACAAAAAGTTAATTGCTTTGCCACATTTTTTGTTGCAACAAGATGCATGTTTTTGAATAGTTTTATTCTGTTCAGGCTTCCTTCTTTTCACTCTGTCAATTAAGTTAGTATTGTGGAGTAACTACTTTCTGAAGGCACTGTATGTGGGACTAGGAGAGTGGGAGAAAGAGAAGAAGAGGGAGATGAGTAGAGGGGCATTTGTTAACCCAGAGCCCTCAGGCCATGCAACAGAATGACTATGGATGATGACTGGGGACAGTGGTGAGTTTGTAGTTTATTGTCCCTATGGTGAACTCATATGGCTACCTACATTCCCCATTCATAGCCCTCCATCCATACCCCCCAGGCTACTGTGTGAGCCCCTTGGTCCTCCTCCTGTATCCTAAACTAAACCATAAGCCCTCAGGTGACCTTTAGCCCAGCAGGAGCCTGGGTCATTCTCTCTCTGATGTTGGCACCTTGATGTCAAAAAGAATTGTTAACTGGTTAACTTTGGATTAGTGACACTACTGTAATACTGAATCCCATTCTGTAGGCTAAGCACATGCTGTATGTCAATTTTATTCAGCAAATGGGTTAGTGTGTGTGTGTGTGTGTGTTTGTGTGTGTGTGTGTGTCTGTGTGCAAGGTTGGCTCTAGACTTTTGGGGGCCCTAAGCAAGATTTTATAACAAATTTCATGCAATTCTGCCATGGGGCAAAGATACATGTTTGTAGTTTTATAGCTAATTCCCTGCAATTATACCCATTTTGCCATGGGGCGGAGATATTTTGTTGCAGTTTTAAAGCTAATTTCCTGAAATTCTACACATTTTGCCATGACTTATGCCCTGTTAATGATATCTGAGTGAGAATGACTAACAAAATCAATGGGGGCCCCCTGGAGGTCAGGGCCCCTGAGCAAGTGCCCTGCGTGCCCGGTCAGTATTCAGCCATGATTACTACAAGTTTAGATAATGGGCTAGACTAACTTATCAACCAAAAAATGGTTAGCTGAGTGACTGTCAGTGACTGACAAAACAAGAGAAAAACTGCTGAAATACAACCAAAATCTACTATTCTAACTCTCAACAGTAAGTTGAGCCCCCGACTGAGTTCCTTTGGGTCTGGTGTCCCCAGTCGCCAAGTGACCACTTACTTCGCTTATGCCTGGAGCCGGCCCTGCGTGTGCCTGTGTTTTCTTCTTTTGTTGGTGCACATGTGTGCACAAAAAATACTTATGTGTTGTAGTGCAAATTGACATTTCCCACCATTTAACCAGTTCTGCCTCTCATTGACCTGTAACCTAATACCTTTCACCAATGTGGGAGTAGATTTTCTCCCATTAACACTGGAAACCCATATCTCTCCCTGATCTGATTGGGAATAATGTAATTATTAGATTTCTCCATCCAGGGATCTCCATGGAAAATGTGTTATAGTGTGGACAATATCCACTTTGACAGAGAATATATTTCCCACCATGAGAATGAGAAATTGAATATCAAGTAAAGGATGTGGGTAGCCTACAATCTGTGCTTGATGATGTGAAAAACCCTGCATTCACAGGAGGTTGGTGGCACCTTAATTGGGGAGAACGGGCTTGTGGTAATAGCTGGAGTGGTATAGGTGGAATGGCATCAAATACATCAAACACATGGTTTCCATATGTTTGATGCCATTCCATTAGCTCCGATCCAGCCATTATTATGAGCCGTCCTCCCCTCAGCAGCCTCCACTGCCTGCATTGGTCTCTTTATAAGACCAGAACCTAAAACAAGGCTTCTGGGGATAGCCTATAGTAGTAGTCTATCACAGAATGTTCCCTATGACCCAAGACTGTGATAAGCACATTGGGATTCATGCAGCATCAGTGAGCTGGACAGAAATCAGTAGTTTCATTTTCGAATGTTGTAAATGTATGAGCCACCGGAGGGTGCCAGTGGTAAGCCTAATTCTGATGTGAGCCTGAGCCTGAGATTGAGGGTGGCAATGTAGTCATACCAATCAATATGAAGTACAAATACACATTTACAAGAAAGGAGTTGAAAGCCATGACTCAAGGATCACTTTTATTAAAACGATAGCACTTGAGCACTGACTGAATCAATGTCATCTGAATGGCTACATATACTCTTAAATCTCCAGCCGGTACAGCCAGAAGAGGACTGACCACCCGTCAGAGCCTGGTTCCTTTCTAGGTTACTTCCTAGGTTCTTACCGTCTAGGGAGTTTTTTCGTAGCCGCTGTGCATCTGCATTGCTTGCTCTTTGGGGTTTTAGGCTGGGTTTCTGTAAAGCACTTTGTGACTACTGCTGATGTAAAAAGGGCATTATAAAATAAATGTGATTGATTGATTGATTGATTGATTGATTGATTGATTGATTGATTGATTGATTGAAGGGCTACATCCAAGGGTCCGGCTCACTGAGAAACTGCTCTAAAACCTTTCTGTCATCAAGTAGTACATTAACAGTCAGGACAGAGGACACTTGTTAATTAGCTTTATTCTTTGGTTAATGTGAATATGGGTGACACATTTGACACAGACGCTGTGTTTAGACAGGCAACCCAATTCTGATATTTTTTTTCACTACTTTGTCTTTTGACCAATCAGATCAGCTCTGAAAAAGATCTGATGTAAAAAGATCTGATGTGATTGGTCAAAAGACCAATTATCTGAAAAAATATCAGAATTGGGCAACCAGAAGAACACACAATCTGAATATGAGTCATGATGACATAGCCTACATTCAGAGTGATATGACAGGCCCACCAGAGGCAGAGGAGGAACACAATGCCTACATTTACACAGGCAGCCCAATTCTGATCTTTTGCGTCTGATTGGTCAAAAAGCCAATAATTGGGCAAAAGATCAGAATTGGCTGCCTATGTAAACGTAGCTAATGTGATGCAACACTAAATAGGGCAGACATACAACATGTTATTTAATTGGTCCAATAATACATTGAAGTGAATACATTGAAAGGTAATCTCATAAAACATTTAAATGTCTCCTGCTGGGATTGGACGAGGCAGAATGTCCGGGTTCCGGGTCAGGTCTGTATCTCAGCCAGCACACCAACCACGTGATAACAACAGAGAACATGGCCATGGTGCTGGCTACAGACAGACAGATAGGGCCGACTGGAGACGGAGGGTTGTTGAAGTTATGTACGAATATGAGTCCCAGAAACAGCAGCACAAGCATGGAAACGAAGGCGAAAATGGCGCACACACAGCCTGTGGTCAGTGCGATGTGCCTGCAGTTCTGACAGCTCTCGTATCCCGCCCTGTCGTAAGAGTTCGCGGCAGCGGCATTATCTCTAACCACAGCTACATACGGGATAGCCTGGTCCTGCGCAGCTGCCGCTGCCACGTTCGCCTCCTCGCGGTGGTACGCGGCCGTGAGCGCTGGGTGCAGAGGAGGAGGATACGGTGGCAGGCTGTCCTGCGGCAGACTGTCATCCTGGATGTAGAACGGATAAGCGTCGGTGACTGTAATGTTGTTGGGGAGGTTGTGTATCCGGTACTCTGGCACCGGAGTCCGTTGGCGACAGAGAGGGCAGCCGATGCGCCATCCTCGGTCCTCACGGAGGTGGAGAGTATTCAGACACTCCTCGCAGAAAGTGTGGAAACATTCCAGGATTTTGGGGGTCCGCCGGTCCAGGTCGAAGTAATTGTAGCATATTTTACACTCGTATTCCTCATATAGAGAAACAGCTTCATATTCCTGCGCGCCGATTCTTTCAGTTCCAGCTACTCTCCGCGGCTCTGCCATGTCATCCTCGCTTGTTTAGCCTACATGCTTTAAGGCCTAGGCTGCTCAAAATAACTTCTGATGTGATCAGAGGATTTCCAACGCCTCTCCACCGGGTTTACACAGACGCAGGGAGCTCCATTCCCTCCATTCTGCGTGGTTTTGTCTGCATCAAATGCCGAAATAGTGCTAGAATACGATAATAGGTCTACGATGTGAGGGTAATTTGATGAGGTAATTCCGGTGCGGTTTCCTAGCTGAGTGGGTGAAGAGGAAGCCGCAGCTCGAGCCCGCTCTCTCTCACACAGCGGATAGGACAGAGCAGCATTCATTCACGGTTCTCCCGCTGCTTCAATTCGGCATGAACCAGAATCTAGATTACAGTCGCTACCCCGGTAGAGCTGTTCGGATCACAAGTCTGGGGCTCAACTTGGAAATAGTGCCAGATTAGGCTACATCAGATTATGCAGGTTTAATAAACCGGTTTAGATCTGTTGCATGCTTAAACGAATTAACCCTTGTATAACACCTAATCTATCCTCCTGCCAAATGACTATTTGCATAGCCTGGCCTATTTGCACAAGCCAAAACAATAGGCATATTCGTCGTTTTATAGATACATCTTGTCATTTGTGTGAACTAATCAAGAGTCTCAATTTCTTTATTGTGATCAGACAGCACACCACTGTTTTAGATATTTCAGCACCATGCTGGGTGGAAAGCGCCAGTGATTCTAATCAGCACCATGTGATGACACCTGTGGTGTGTAATGAGGAGCAACCAGATGCTGCACTTGACCCCTTTATGAAATTGCTTATTCCAGTTACTAATAATGCACCCATTAAGAAAATGACTGTAAAAACGGTTAAATCCATGTGGATTGAAGATTAATTGAAAAATGTGATGATTGAGAGGGATGCGGCAAAAAGAATGGACAATAAGTCTGGCTGCACAGCCGATTGGTAAACATACTGTAAATTGAGAAATCATGTGACTAAACTGAACAAAAATAAGAAGAAACTGTACTATGGAACAAAGATAAATAACATAAAGAATTATAGTAAAAAGCTTTGGAGCACCTTAAATGACATTTTGGGCAAAAAGGCGAACTCAGCTCCATCATTCATTTAATCAGATGGCTCATTCATCACAAAACCAACTGATATTGCCAACTACTTTAATAATTTTTTCATTGGCAAGATTAGCAAACTTAGGCATGACATGCCAACAACAAATTCTGAACCTACAAATCCCTGCATAACTGACCAAATTATGAAAGACAAGCATTGTCATTTTGAATTCTGTATAGTGAGTGTGGAAGAGGTGAAAAAAGTATTGTTGTCTATCAACAATGACAAGCCACCTGAGTCTGACAACTTGGATGGAAAATTACTAAGGATGATAGCGGACGATATATCCACTCCTATTTGCCATCTGTTCAATCTAAGCCTACGGGAAAGTGTGTGCGCTCAGGCCTGAAGGGACGCAAAAGTCATTCTGCTACCCAAGAATAGCAAAGCACCCTTTACTGGCTCAAACAGCCTACCAATCAGCCTGTTACCAAACCTTAGTAAACTTTTGGAAAAAATGTTGTTTGACCAGATACAATGCTATTTCACAGTAAACAAATTAACAATTTATTTTCAGCACGCTTGTAGGGAAGGGCATTCAACATGTACGGCACTGACACAAATGACTGATGATTGGCTGAGAGAAATTGATAAAAAAAATATTGTGGGAGCTGTTTTGTTAGACTTCAGTGCAGCTTTTGACATTATCGGTCATAATCTGCTGCTGGAAAAACGTATGTGTTATGGCTTTACATCCCCTGCTATATTGTGGATCGAGAGTTACCTGTCTAATAGAATATAGAGGGTGTTCTTTAATGGAAGCCTCTCCAACATAATCCAGGTAGACTCAGGCATTCCCCAGGGCAGCTGTCTAGGCCCCTTACTTTTTTCAATCTTGACTAATGACCTGCCATTGGCTCTGAGTAAAGCCTGTGTGTCTATGTATGCGGATGACTCAACACTATACACGTCAGCTAGACCAGCAAGTGAAATCAAAGCAACACTTAAGAAAGAGCTGCAGTCAGTTTCAGAATGGGTGGCAAGAAATAAGTTAGTGCTAAATATTTCAAAAACTAAAAGCATTGTATTTGGGACAAATAATTCACCAAACCCTAAACCTAAACTAAATCTTGTTAAGAATAATGTGGAATTTGACCCAGTTTAGGAGACTAAACTGCTTGTAGTGACCCTGGATTGTAAACTGTCATGGTGAAAACATATTGATGCAACAGTAGCTAAGATTGGGAGAGGTCTGTCCATAATAAAGCACTGCTCTTCCTTCTTAACAACGCTATCAACAAGGCAGGTCCTACAGACCCTAGTTTTGTCACACCTGGACTACTGTCCAATCGTGTGGTCAGGTGCCACAAAGAGGGACTTAGGAAAATTACAATTGTTCCAGAATAGGGCAGCACGGCTGGCCCTTAAATGTACACAGAGAGCTAACATTAATAATATGCATGTCAATCTCTCCTGGCTCAAAGTAGAGGAGAGATTGACTTCAACACTACTTGTATTTGTGAGAAGTATTGACATGTTGAATGCACCAAGCTATCTGTTTAAACTACTGGCACACAGCTCAGACACCCATTCATACCCCACAAGACATGCCACCAGAGGTCTCTTCACAGTTCCCAAGTCCAGAACAGACAATGGGAGGCGCACAGTACTACATAGAGTCATAACTACATGGAACTCTATTCCACATTAAGTAACTGATGCAAGCAGTAAAATCAGATTTAAAAAACAGATACAAATACACCTTATGGAACAGCGGGACTGTGAAGACACACACACAGACACACTCACACACACACATGATAGCATACGCACTATACACACATGTACACATGGATTTTGTGTTGTAGATATGTGATAGTAGAGTAGTGGCCTGAGGACACACACTTAATTTGTTGTGAAATCTGTTGTGAAATGTAATGTAATGTTTTCTTTTTATTGTATATAACTGCCTTAATGTTACTGGACCCCAGGAAGAGTAGCTGCTGCCTTGGCAGGAACTAAAGGGGATCCATAATAAATACAAATACCTCCTGCCTGCCGCTCATCCTATCCAGATCAAATGCTTACTCCAAATGTGTGTTATGGAATTTTTGCATTTAGCTTATTGACCAAAGTAGGCAGCAAGTGATAAAATAACTTAATTGTATTCAGTGCAGACAGTCTCGACCATTTTCATAGCTAAGTATGGAGTGTGTAGATAGAATGTGATTTCAGTGTGTGTGTGGGGGGTGGGGGGCTTCTCACTGTCTGTGTGAATAACCTGAGGGTGCCTGCCTTTTACTAAATTATACTTATACTGTATAATCCCAGCCCCAGGCTATAGGTTACACTCAGACACACAGATAGACATATAAACGTGCACGCACACACACACCACACACACATACACACACAAAGGGACACACTCAATCGGCCATTCTTATCAATGGGAATGAAACCTCAGAACTGATTGATCATCTGGTGAATTTCATATATTGATATCTAATATTAGGTTGTATCTGACAAATTGGAAGTTAATGAACATCATACTTTGAATAAACACTTTAAGACATAATTGTATTCTTTCACTGATGTTCTTGTTATTGTATTTTACCAATATCACAGTGCTGAATAGCAATCTCTTTGACATGTCAGTCAGCCTCCCTGTCAGCTTGGAGTGTTTGCTCAAAGCACAGGTTAAGTGTTAGGTGTCTGACAGCCTCTGAAGGAAGTGTGTGTGTGTATGTGTGACATATTCCGTGGGATGTTGTACATAAAGCTGACGTGTGTGTGTGATGTGCGTGCATGTATACATGTTCATATACTGCATGTATCTGTGTGTAGTTTATAGCCTGAGGCTGGAATTAAAGAGTATATGTATAACATCTTTCAACTCAACTAGCACCACCACCTCCAATGTAGCCAGGCTACTAACAGCGAGATATGGCCCCTCCTAGTCCCAACCCCATCTCATTTGGGATTAACTCTACCTCAGTTCACCATTGGGTTGCCTGGGCCTGTGGAGACCATAGTGGAGACATAGGCTGATGACCCTAAGGGTATGTGAGCAAATAAAGTCCATCTTAAAACTGAGGAGTAGGAGGTCAGAACAAAGAGTGTAATAAAGATCTTAGACACTATAGGAGTGGGCTAGGACCTCCTCACTGCTCAAAAGTAGAGTTCATCTGATGGATTTGTGTCAGATCTTCAGAGATACAACGCTCATCTACAGGATTTTTCGGATGGATATTTAATCATCTGGAAACAATGTTGTTTCAGTGTAATGTGTGTTTTTTTCTCATGAATTTGCATGGATCCATTCTCTTCCCAAATTACTGGACTATGTTTTGTGTGAGGGGAAAGTCAGATGTTTGAATGAAAAAAGACCCCAACATTTTCCAAACTCTACAGCCCATATCCCTGTGGCCTCATGGCTGCGGTTACAACTAGTGCAATATTAATGAGACTGTGGAAAGGGATCTCTCTCTCTCTCTCTCTCTCTCTCTCTCTCTCTCTCTCTCTCTCTCTCTCTCTCTCTCTCTCTCTCTCTCTCTCTCTCTCTCTCTCTCTCTCTCTCTCTCTCTCTCTCTCTCTCTCTCTCTCTCTCTCTCTCTCTCTCTCTCTCTCTCTCTCTCTCTCTCTCTGTGTGTGTGTACAAATATCACATAAAAAGTGTTGGTGTGACTGTGACTTGATAGCAAAGTTTCTTGTCCATATTTGTGAGGTAGATGGTGGCCATTTTCAAAACACCATTTGATGAAGTCAAAATATATCTGTCCCTCACATCTTCGTAATCTGTGAAAAAAAAAAAGTTAAATCAAACAATCATGATTCACAACAAATATAAAGCAATACATCTCCATCTATCCCTTATCATAGATCTCCATTGTCTCCGAGGGATAACTGAAGCCCAAACTCTCCTTTTATTCCTCTTTTCTCTCTGACTGATTC